GCCTCTGCGAGAACGCGCTGCGTGCTCCCTGGGCGCAGAAGCCATTCCCATTGCTAACACAATGCTAATATTGTTTGTTTGGTTTCTTTTTGTTGGGATTTGAAGATTAAGATGCTTGTGTTCAAGTTGCCATTTTGCACAATTTTTAAAAATACACAAACTAAAAAATAATTTTGAAGTATTATATATTTTTTGCATTGAAATGTGAAAATGAGATTCAGACTGCCTGACCCCTAAGAGACAAATATGCCATAATTTCTGTGACAAACTTCTTTATTTCGAAGTTTTGTGCAAACCATTACGGAGTACTTTAAGGAACTGCTCTCTAAGGAAGGTCACAGAATGAGCAGAGGCACAAAAGCATGACATAAAAGAAACAGGTGGGTAGGTCAGTAGTCCCAAACTGGACTGGCAGAAGGAGGGGATGGGGGTCAGCCTGGAGCTGGCTCCTGCTGACAGGCTCAGGAAGGAGGCCTGGCAGTCGTGTGCATGTGGTCCTCTGTACAATTCTTAATCTGCTGGCAGTGAGGGTTGCACTGGTGCAGAATGACCTGGCCCAGATGGTGTTTATGGTTGAATACTTTAAGATATCATGTACAAGAACTCCCCTGAATTTAGCTCAACATAAATAACAAAATGGTGTCTCAATGGAGTCTGTGCTGTACAAAATCAACACTTGTGGAAACCCATTCCATCTCTGGATTACACAGAGCAAAGAAAAATGCTCAATGAACAATCATGACGGATATGCACATTGAAGTTATCATATCAGATAGAGGGCCTAGATGGTCAGCGTTCGGTGAGCTGGTGGCACACAGCCTCCTGTGGACGTGTGTATCACCTGCTCTGTGTTCCGGCCTCAGCCGTTCCTCACTCTCAGGTATGGGTGGTCATTTCCTAAGAGTAGATTATGGCATGAAATACATGTTGGCAGGGATTCTCATAGTAAGTTTTAATAAGAAATAACATCAGCCTGTTTATTATTTTCAGAACACTCAAGCATTATAGAAAAATTGAGAAAGGGAATTACCAAAGCTGGGTGTGCACCTGAGATTCACTACTTAAAAACTTGTGAGGGTGTTTTTCAAAATTATCGTTATATAAAGAGAACCCTCTGAGCTATGTTAACATTTTCTTATAATGTAAGGAATAATATTGTGAGATTTTTGTGGGAAGTTTAATTCATGAATGTTACTGTGCTTGGCATATAGAAGGATATTTCAGAAAGCTCATAAATAATTGGAGATAAAGATGCTTAATTTTTTTTAAGATTTTTTTTTTTATTGCAAAGTCAGATATACAGAGAGGAGGAGAGACAGAGAGGAAGATCTTCCTTCTGATGATTCACTCCCCAAGTGACCTCAACGGTTAGTACTGCACCGATCCAAAGCCAGGAGCCAGGAACTTCCTCCAGGTCTCCCACACGGGTGCAGAGTCCCCAAAGGTTTGGGTCGTCCTCGACTGTTTTCCCAGGACACAAGCAGGGAGCCGGATGGGAAGCAGAGCTGCCAGGATTAGAACCGGCACCCATATGGGATCCTGGTGCGATCAAGGCGAGGACTTTAGCTGCTAGGCCATGCCGCCGGGCCCAAAGATGCTTATTTTGACCCTTGAAAAGTTTTGAAACTGATACATAGCTTGTTCTCAATTTGTATTTTTCTTAAACTTTTGAAGAGTCTTCATATGCATGGATTTCATAGTTCTTTTGCCTCAAAATAAATTTATCTTTCATACCTATTTTCCCCAGATTTTTGAAATTACCTTGTAGAGAGGAGTTATTTCCTATACATGTTATTTTCCTGAATTTATTAATAATTTTTATGGTTTTATAGACTGGGAGCTGATAGGAAAATTGCTGCTGCTTTTTTTTTTTTCTTTTAAAATATGGCCTGTAAACATAAAGCAGTTACTTTTTCTGAGAAGCCACAAAGGAAAGAGCAGACTATTGAATCCCCAACGGAAAAGCTAGTGTGTCGGATTTATTAACATATGGCATGTTCGCATACACGTAAACTTGCAAAACCCTGGAAACTACTTTGGGATGATTAAAGAATTTGCAAGGCTTTATTTAACTACATGTCTAAATTTTTTTTTTCACAGGTTGACTTTAGGGCCTACCATAGGGCTTCAGAGGCAATTATTTAGTGTTGAAATATTAACCAGTGTGGTTCCTTGCGATTTTTCCTGTATATGATGACTCCATGTTTCTCTTATTGATTTTTCTTTATTGATGCCTGTGTGTGTGATCTTAAAGATTTCTTAATGTCCTTTATCTTTCCATGGCACGGGAAGTGGGGTTTTCTGATTGAGAATACTAAACCTGTTGTAATAAAATCCATAGCCTACTTGGTAACTGTTTTGTATGGTTACTAAAGTCAAACTTTGTTGATCCCTCCTAAGTACCCATTTTGCACACATTCACATGCAAATAGCTATTATGTAATTTGGTGGAGATTTCTCTAATCCACTTAAATAACGAGCAGTTTTCTCATGCTTTTTTTAAAAAAAAAATTGTTCCAGACAAGCAGAATGGTTGAAATACTGTCTTTAGATAAGAGCCTGGAAAATGCTTCGTGATGCTTTGATTTCTTCTTAGGAAGTCTGAATGAGCCATCATTTCATCATTTCAAGTTTGAAATCACAGAGATAGATCCCTCAGCAGAATATAGGATTCTCCCTTTCTTTGTCATCAGATTGTTAAGAAATGAGGTGGAAATGAAATTTTCAGCATTATCTTCCTTGAAGACTTTTTGCTACCAAGTTATCTGAATGGATTGGCATACAAGAGGCTCATTTGGTTGGTTGAAGACCTTCCTGAGAATGGCTTGGGCAGAAATAGGAAATTATTTTCCTGCTGAGGTCTAATCTGACTCATTCTTTTTTTTTTAAATTTATTTATTTTTATTGGAAAGGCAGAAATAGAGAGGAGGAGAGTCAGAGACGGACAGGAAGATCTTCCATCCAATGGTTCACTCCCCAAGTGACCGCAACGGCCGATGCTATGCCGATCTGAAGCCAGGAGCTTCTTCCAGGTCTCCCACACAGGTGTGGGTGCAGGGTCCCGAGGCTTGGGCTTGGGCTGCTTTTCCAGGCCACAGGCAGCTGGTTGGGAAGCAGGGCTGCCGGCATTAGAACCAGTGCCCATATGGAATCCCGGCACGTTCAAGGCGAGGACTTTAACAGCTACGCTATCGTGTTGGGCCCTTGACTAATTCTTAATCTACATATTCACCACCTGAATTTTATTGGGAAAATATAAACACAAAATATGAAATTATGAAATAAATGCAACAGGGAAAATAGGAAAGCCAGGTCCTTTCAGTGGTTCTTTAAAAAAATTTATTTAAAAGCAGACCTCTCTAATAAGGATTTCTGAATGCTTTGTTTATGTTTCTGTTTATGGATTTACGAAGGAGCTGTCTAGTCAGTCATGTAAGGCAGGGTGGCTTAGCTGTTATAAGTTATTTCACTTACATTTATTCTGTTTAGGTTGAATACAGAGCAACAGAAGAAAGCTTTGAAAACTAAAGGCAAATAAATGTAACAGAATTAGCTAGATTTATTTCAAAAAGGTCTGTAAAGAAATACTTTAAACTTCCACTGACCTTATTAAAATACACTACCAGGAACACCCTGTTCGAGCCACTTTCATGCATTAGTCATGAAACAACTGTGGCATTCTGATACAATAGCAGGAGCAGCAATTTAGCAATCAGAAGATTGAGAGAGTTCTTGTCTTGGTCCATTCACAGGAAGATTAAATGACACGTAAAGGCCCCTGGATGACGAAGCCATGCATAAGAGAATCAAAACAAATGAGCTATCTTCAAAAATGTCCTCCTCCAAGTCTGTGCTTGGGTTTAAAAACCACATGAAGAACATACCAGGAAAAGTAGAGGAAAGCCCAAGCTCCACCTCCCTCAGAATTGCAAAATAAGTTTTGGAGTTTCAGGATCCTATTGCATAGAACGGATGGACAGTGTCATTTAAGTGACTTAGAGAGGTGTTGGGAGGGCTGAAGAAGCAGTTGCTACACTGAACTTCTAGGAACAGTTGGCAGAATGTCAATGTGAGGCTGGACCACCTGCCCCCGTGAAGGAGGCCCTGGAATGCATTGTGTGTCTTCTGCAATCTACATCCACATAGGGGCATCCTGTGTCCTGTCTCCACCCATACCTCTCCCAGACTCAGGCCCCCACACAGGTGTTGCCCACATCTTTGAGATTAGTAGGGCATGAATCCCATTTGAAATCCCAGCTACAGGAGACTCGTGAGACACCATCTTTCCAAACTCTGTACACTGCAGGGTTGGGAATACCTGATGACAGTCCAGTCCTTTGAATCTGTCATTGTCAAGAAGCTAAATACTTGTGTTTTTGTTTTAGGTTTATTTATTTTTATTGGAAAGATAGATTTACAGGGAGAAGGAGAGACAGAGAGAAAGATCTTCCATCCACTGGTTCACTCCCAAATGGCTGCAGTTGCTGGAGTTGAGTTGATCCAGAGCTAAGAGCTAGGACTTCTTCTGGGTCTCCCACACGGGTGCAGGACCCCAAGGTTTTGGGACCATCCCTTATTGCTTTCCCAGGCTACAGCCAGGGAGCTGAATGGGAAGTGGAGCAGCTAGGACACAATCTGGTGCTCATAGGACATGCCAGGATTTGGCAGGCAGAGGATTAGCCAATTGAACCATTGTGCTGGCTGTTTGCTAAAGTTCTCAGAGCAAGTGCACATGTTTTATTTATAGCTAACAACAAGTCATTTTCAGTATGCACATCTTATTTCTGACCATTTTCCCAAGCAGCTGTCTTAAAAATCATGAACACAATCTACATCATTTCCTCAAGATGCCAAGCTGATGTAACAAGCAGAATTCTAGATGTAGAATTTTCCTCCAGTTCCATTCATTTCCTGCATGTCAGGTGCTTCCACCTATTTTCTTGTTTTCTGCATGGGGCTGTCCTCCACCCTCTCAGTCTTCTATGTTCTTTACCATGCAGACCTGTGAATGAACAGCCAGAGTCCTCGGAGGCAGACGTGACAGGCCGGTGGCACAATGGCTACGCCAGCAGGACATCCCCAGCACCTTCCGAATCAACCACCACTGTCAAGTCGCTGATCAAGTCGTTTGACTTGGGACGCTCAGGTATCTAAGCACATCTGGCCATAAGCAAAGCCGAAACCTTGACCTGAGAGGTCAGGACTGTCTACTCCACCGTGACCCCAGATTGAAATGACCTCAAAGGCTCTTGGGAAATCATGCCCCGTGCAGTGCTGTTGCCCACGTGTTGTTGTACCCGTGTGGGAGAGGCTTTAGTGAGGCATGAAAGAAGATAAATTTGACCTACTCCATCTCTCCACCTTGCCTCTAGCTCCAGGTCTTGCCTTGCCACCTTCCATTTCTGCCTCTCATAGCCGTTCAGGTCACTGCTGTTTGACTTCTTCAGCCTTCTAAAAATTAGGCACCTCTCTCTTCTTTGTTTCTCTCTCTCTCCAAGATTTGATTTTATCTGAAAGGAGGAGTAACAAGGAGAGAGAAACAGAGTGAAAGAAATCTTCCATCTGTTGGTTCACAGTCTAGGTGGTTCACAGAAGCCAGACCTGGACCAGACAGAAGCCTGGGGCTCTATCCAGTTCTCCCATGTGGGTAAAGGACTGCTTTCCTGGTACAATTAACAGGGAACTGGGTGGGAAGCAGAGTGGCTGAGTTTTGAGCCAGTGCTTGAATACCAAATGTTGACATTGCAGGTGGAGGTTTAATCCTTTGTGCCACAATCCCAGCCCCCATTTAGCTTTCTTCCTGGGATTCTCATGTCTTCCAGGCGTTCTCACCTGACACTATGCTGTTAAGACTCTTTTTGACTCCATCTTATGTGTGAATATTTGTGCTGATCTGTCACTCCTGACCTTAGTGCCTTCCCAGCCTTTCCTGGAACAATCTGGCTGACTCACAGTTTCCCATTAATCACACTTATCTGTGTATGGGGGAAAGGTGCATCAAGTATTGTAAAGGGAAGAAACGAAATGTGCATTTTCCACAATAACAATAATTCCCTTGACCGTATATGCCATTGTATTTGAAGACTGGAGTCAGATAATCCCAGGATGTACCTGGTTATTTCTGCTAAAATAGTTGGCCGTGAAATCAGGTTAAGATTAGACCATACATACCGAAATATGTGACATCCTAATGAGTCAGTCTGTGGGGTTAGGAAAAGAATTAGCAGTAATTATTTTAGTAAGAGCTTTGCTACTCCTTCCTGCCTTCCACACCTCATTATACACATTTTCTCTTGGTGTTCTGTGTCTGAGATCTGCTCCTACACAGCTATTCCCCTCTCTTCTCATTACCCTAATTCAACTGTAGACCCCGGGGGAAAAGAGAGGAAGTGGATGTTAAATTAAACATCACAGGATGCAACTGTATGTCCCAATGTCTTTTCTTGACAGGTGGAGGTGGGCAGAATATTTCTGTACATAAGACCCCTAGGAGTCCCCTAAGTGGAATACCAGTGCGGACTACCCCAGCAGCTGCTGTGTCTCCAATGCAGGTATTCGAAAAAAGTCCCAGAAACAGTCACTGTTTGTAGTTTATTGTGTATCCTTCCAGATGTTCTTTATGTGTGTAACAAGAATGTTTTATAACTTGGATTATACTACAATTATTCCAACGACTAGTACTTTCACTTTATTATTGAGATGTAAGTCCATGAGGGCAAATGTTTTTGTTTTTGTATATTTTGTTTGCTTCTATATCTTGTCTAGAACACTGCTTGTTGGTGTATTTAGATTCTTTTAGGTTTAAGTTAATGCGATAAAGGAAAAGTCCCTGCAGAAATTTTTGACCATCTATGAGGCTGTTTCTGGATATATCTTAATTTATTTGCAGGTATCAGGAATCATTCTAGGTAGTTAAGCAGAAAGGGATTAAATACAGAGGATTTGATACCGGAAGGACTGGCGGAAAAGGCTGTGTCGTCTGTACTTCGCTTATAGGAAATGTTCCCAGAGTAGCTGAGTTGGTCATTAAGAAGCTAGCACTGTGGCGTAGTGGGAGCAGCTTTTCATTGTTGATGACTGCATCCCATAGGACTCTGCTTTGTGTCCCAGCTGTTCCACTTCCAATCCAGCTCATTGCTAATATGCTGGGGAGAGCAGTGGAAGATGATTCAAATACTGCCAACCAAGTGGGAAAGCAGGATGAGCTCCAAGCTTCAGCCTGGATTAACCGTGACCGTTACAGCCATCTGGGGAGTAAACCGGTGGATGGCTGATTCTCTCTCTCTTTCTCTTTCCCTAACCCTGTCTCTCTGTATAACTCTTTCAAATGCATGAATTTAATCCTAAAAAAAAAGGATAAAAGAGTTGGCCCATTAAAAGAAATTCTGTTTCTACCAGAAGTAGAGACGAGAGCCCAGCATGATTGCCTAATGGCTAAAGCCCTTTCCTAGGATCCATATGGCATCCCATATGGGCACCGGTTCTAATCCCGGCAGCTCCACTTCCCATCCAGCTCCCTGCTTGTGGCCTGGGAAAGCAGTCAAGGACGGCCCAAAGCCTTGGGACTCTGTCACATGCGTGGAGGACCTGGAAGAAGCTCCTGGCTTCAAATCCACTCAGCCCTGGTCATTGTGGCCACTTTGGGAGTGAACCAGTAAATGGAATGTCTTTCTCTCGGTCTCTCCTCTTTATAAAATCTGACTCTACAGGACCCAGCATGGTAGCCTAGCAGCTAAAGTTCTCACCTTGCACACACTGGTATCCCATATTGGCACCGGTTCTAATCCTGGCAGCCCTGCTTCTCATCCAGCTCCCTGTTGCAGCCAGGGAAAGCAGTTGAGGATGGATTGCTGGCTTTTGGATATTAGCATCAGAGGCTCCAACCCAGCCCACTGTAATTTGACCCCTGCCCCATGAGTTAATAAATTTTAAAATATTAATTAAATGATTACAAACTCTTAAAAAAAAAAAAAGTAAATGACCAGGTCCAGTGCGATGGTTCAGGAGCTAAGTCCTCACCTCGCATGCGCCAGGATCCCATGTGGGCACCGGTTTGTGTCCTGGCTGCTCTACATCCTACCCAGCTTGTAACCTTGTAGCCTAGGAAAGCAGGCTACAAGGCTGGGACGGCCCAAAGCCTTGGGACCCTGCACCTGCTCCTGGCTCCTGGCTTCAGATCAACTCAGCTCCTGCAGATCAGCTTAGCTCCTGCTGTTGCAGCCACTTGGGGAATGAACCAGTGGACAGAAGATGTTTCTGTCTTTGAATCTATTTTCCAATATAAATAAATAAATAAATATATGTAAACAGTCATAAGAAAAAGTAGAAAATCATAGTAGTCCATATTATAAATTTTTTCTGTAAAGGAAATTTCAGGCCCTGATGGCTTCACTATTTGATCTCTCAAAACACTCAAGGAAAAAATGTCCATGTTTTATAAATTCATACAAAAACTAGAAAAACCACTAGAAAAAGTGAGCCTTCATTTTAACGGCCTACCATAGCTTTGACATCTGATTCTGGCAAGGACATTAAAAAAAAAGAGTGAATCAATTCAAGTCTCCTCTCTCTCTCTCTACTTTTTAAATAAATAATTGAGGAAAACATAGAGGTCGGGGTCTCTCGTGAACTTCTCTTCAGAAATTTTGAACAAAATATTGGCGAAACAGGGACGAACATTTGGCTTAACCATTAAGATGCCATTTAGAGAGTATCTATTCATATTCCAACCCTGCTTCCAACTTGAGCATCCTTGCTAAAGCAGACCCTAGGTGACAGGAAATGGTGGCCCAAGTGCTTGGGTCTCTACCTACCCACATGGGAGACCCAGATGGAGTTCCAGACTCCTGGTTTCAAACCACCCCAACCCCCAGGCATTTGGCGAGGGAAGCAGTGGATGGGAGATCTCTGTTTGTCTCTTTCTCTCTGCCATTCAAATACAATTTTTTTTTTTAAATAGTAAGAAGAAAAAACTTTTTGCACGAATCCTTGACTGTATGTAAACTATTCCAGGAAGGATTTTCATAAGGCTAATTAATAATTAACTTTGGACAGAAAAAAATGGGTGATGAGAGTGAGAGACTTTCTCTGAAAGAAAAAAAAGTTTATTTGAAATTCAGAATTATAGAGAGAGGAGGAGAGAGGTAGAAAGAAACAGAGAAATAAAAGAGATGTTCCATGCACTCGTTCATTCCCCAAATGGCCACAGCAACCAGGGTTAGACCAGGCCAAGGCCAGAAGTTTCTTCTAGGTCTCCAATATGGGTGCAAGGGGCCAGCTACTTGGGCCATCTTCTGCAGTTTTCCCACATGCATTAGCAGGGAGCTGGATTGGAAGTAGAGCAGCCAGCATACAAACTGGCACCCATATAGACTGTTGCTGTTGCAGATGGCAGTTCAACCCACTGTGCCACAACACCAGCCCTGAAACTTTGTCACCATTTCTCTTTTTTGTCCCCCTTCAGGTTTATCCTATTTCATTTGCAACTTATTCAAGTAAATACGTCATTTTAAAAGCTCACTCTGTGTGATGATCCCAGTGTGCTTAAAAACAACTGATTGTGTATGTGAATGCATCACCCCTTCCCCTGTCGGAGGCGTTTCTGCTGTTGTAGAGATTCCACGCTCACTGTGCTCATGTGTCTTGGCTCTTGCAGAGGCATTCAGCTTACGGCAGCCTGCGTCCAGGCAGCAAAGGAGTTACTCAACGCCTGGATCTTCCAGACCTTCCCCTGTCAGGTAAGTTACCTAAGACATAAAACACATTTCTGGGGTTGGGGAGTCGATGTTTCTTTTCCTTGCAGCAAATCTAAACTTACAAAAATGATCATTGGCATTTATTCTAAGCCATCTCAGTCTCTGCATGTACATTTTATATAGGTGAGCTCCAGCAGTGCAGCCAATGGGACAACAAAGTTATCACCTACAGGCTGCGTTCACCGGTGTGTGTGGATGAGGGAAGAGACGCCAGACTGTCATTTATTTTTACCTAAATATTTAACATGTTTTCTGATCTCCTCTAAAAGCAGCAGCTATGAAAAAAAAAAAAAACCATACTTAATTTTGATGTTGTCTGTTGCTCCCATGATTGCTAAACAATGCCTCAAGGAAGAGGCATAAATAGAGTGAAGACATTAGTTCATGAGGCCAGGTCTTTGAGCTCCTGGTTGTGATTCCTGGTTCTGGCTCTTGATCCCAGATTCCTACCATGGGAGGCAGCCGGCGATGGCTCAGGTAGTTGGGTTCCTGTGACCCACGTGGCAGACCTAGATGGAGTTTCCAGGTCTTGGTTTTAACCTGGCCTGAGTCAACGGCAGCTTTCAGGGAGTGAACCAGTAGATGCGAGCTCTGTCTATTTCTCTCTGCCTCTCAAATGCGTTTAAACATTTTTTGTAACCATTTAAGAAATATGATCTTTTTAAAAATTTTTAATTCTTTTTTATTATTATCATTTTATGATACAGTTCCAGAAATCATGGGATTTCCCTTATCCCCTCCCCAATTCCCTCTCCGCTCACTGAGTTCCCCTATATTATTACTATTAGTATAGTTCTTCATGTACAGTCGTATGTCCATCATTGTGGGCATGGACAATGGCAGGCAGTCCATTATCCTATTGTCAGACACAGTAAACAGTTTCATTGTGAGTCCATCTTTGGACTGGAAGTAGAGAGGCATGCTGCATTGTATCCTCACATCTGGATATGATAGTCTCCATTACACAGTCAATATATATCCCCTTAAATGAAAAGCCACAATACAAAATCAACAACAGGAAGAAAAATAGAAATTTACAACACCATGAAGTTAAATAACTTGCTGCTAGATTTGGTTGTCTCCATTACACCATTACTATACATCCCATTAAATTAAAAGCCACAAGCCATAATCAACAACAGGAAGGAAAAAAAAAAACATGTGCTTTTAAAAAAAAATTCCTGGGGGCATCTTTGAATAACCCTCTTCTGTTATTACACCATATTTTTTTTTAAATCAAATGCTTATAATGGAGTGGGGATTGTAGTCAGCAACCGTCACACGTCCCATTTTCATTGTGCCGCACCACTTCTGTCAGTGGCTCATGAGAGTAGCTGTTAGTGGGGCTACAGGACTGGACCTGGCTACCTGGACTTCAGTCATAGCACTGCCATTTATAGCTGGCTTGGCCCTCTTGCTCCACCCTTCTGTGCTTCAGTTCCCTCATCTCTAAAGTAGCGGTTATATTATGCGCTCCATAGGAGTGTGGCTTGGATCAAGTTAGCACCCTTAAAGGCCTCAGAGAGTTGATGTGGCAGGTTAAGCTGCCACCTGCAACACCAGCATCCCTTTTCAGAGCACCAATTCAAAGCCCTGGCTGTTCTGCTTCTGATCCAGCTCCCTGCCAATGTGCCTAGAAAGGCGGTGGAAGATGACCCAAGTGTCTGGTCCCCTGAACCCACATGGGAGACTAAGCTGCACCTGATTTCAAAGCTGAGGTTGGGGCCAGGATTGTAACCATTTGGGGAACGAATCAACAGATGGAAGATCTGCACTCTCTCTCTAATTGCCTTTCAAATATTTATATATTTTTATATGTTTATATATACAGAAATATTCAAATATATAATATATAACATGTATATTATGTTATATTTATATATATAAATATACACATGTATAACATATATTTATTTAATTTTGAAAATCTCTTACAGAGTGGGGCTGGGGTGGAGTGTTATAGCACCATCTTCTCACATTCCTTACTATTCTCTGCTGAATCAGTTCCTGTTCCCAGCACAAAGAGAGTAGCACTTTTCGAGTTCACAGAATGTTAAGATTGTGTGGAATCTGTACCTTAGAAATTCTGTGTATGTCATGATGAGGGTCTGGAGCCAAAATCAGCAAAAATAAGAGTAAGTGAACTGTTTACCAGAGCCTGTCGGAAGAATAGAAAGGAAAACTTGTAGATCGCAAAGATCGATTTTCAGTTTTTTGAAAGGCAGCACTATAGAGGGAAGAGCACACACACACACACACACACTTGTAGAGAGAGAGAGCTCTTCCATCTCCTGGTTCATTCTCCACACTGTTGCAATGGTCATGGTTATGCCATGCCAACGCCAGGAGCCAAGAACCTCATCTGTGTCTCCCACAGCCATCTTCTGCTCATCTCTCAGGTTCATTCGCAGGGCGCCGGATCAAAAGTAGAGGAGCATCCAGGTCTGGACTCAGCATCCATATGGAATGCTGGCATAACAGACAGCAGCTTTGTCTAGTAGCCACAACACTGGACCCCAAAGTATATAAATGTGATACAAATAAAAGTAATAGCTCATGTATTTCTCTTAGATCATGGTCAACCACGGTCAGGCTTGTGTGTGTGTATGTGTGTGTGTGTGTGTGTGTTTGTGTCTAGAAGATTTATTGTTTTTTATTTGAAAGGCAGAAAGAAAGGGAGAGAATCTTCTATCTACTCGTTCGCTCTCCAGTTAATCACAGTGACCAGGGTGGAGCCAAGCCAAAGCCAAGAGCATGGGGCTTGGGGTCTCCTACGTGAGTGCAGGCCGCGAGCAGTTGGACCATCTTCCACTGCTTTTCTCAGGGTTCCCAGTGTTTTCTGGGAACTAGATCGGTAGTGACGCAATTGGAACTCAAACCGGAGCCCAAACGTGATGCCCGTGCTACAGGAGGCAGCTTACAGGTGCCATGGCACTGGCCCGTGCTGGTTCTAATGTTTCTATGAGGTAAACTTTCCTTCTGAATCTGTACTTTGCATGGAATTTTAATAAGGATTTTAGGTCTGTATAAACACTAACATTGAGAATTTAAAGATGATCTTGGCCCATTCTCTGAATTTTACTTGTAGGTGATTCAAACCTTGTAGAGATTAAGTAATTTCTTTATCAAAGGCCACAACAATGTTGAATAATTTTGAATTTTGAATAATTTTGAAAACAGGGACCGATGTTTTCTCAATTCTTTCTATTCAGTTGCCTTTTGGTAAAGAGGCCAGTAATTGCTCTGGTCAGGGGCTTGAAAATTAAGAGATAAAATCTTGTATAGGCATTTAAGTTCTAATAATAACTTCTAGGAAGAAGGAAATTATTATTAAAAAAAACCCTTAGGTCATAATAATAATAATAATAAATATATAAGGAGCTAGTGGAGGTGGCAAAATACAAGAATTTAAGGTCCAGGAGACCAAATCTTGACACCCCTTTACTAGAAATAGAGTAAGGAGGCCAGAACAGAATATTGAAATACTACAGCAGGTGCTCTGTGGACTGTAATGGGAGTTAACTTAATTGGGTAGTAGGTGATGAGCTTTCTTTAAAAAAAAAAAGAAAAGCATACAACAAAGTTTTCCACTTTTATCATTTCTGAGTATACCAAGTGAGCTTTTGGTCCTGTTTGTGTCCTCACCTCTGTATTCCACCCACTTTAAAATGTGTTAGGGAAACTCTTCATCTACAAGATAAACACTGAAGTTGAAACCACAGCAGCCTTGGCTGTGAAGTAAATAGTTCATTGACAACCCTGCCCCTGCACCCTTACTGGCACCTGTCTGCAGGGATGGTTCTATTCACTATAATAAAGAAAGGATTACAAAGTGAAAATTGTTTGCTTCCAGCAACTTCCAGTAATTGCTTGTCAACATTGAGGTCATCCGACGCTGCAGAAGTAGGGATTAATGTGCTGTTTTTGTTGTTCTCCTTGGTGTTGTAAACACTGTTTTTCTCTGCTATTTGGAGCTAATTGTCATCCCTCCCAACTTTACTAGCCATAATTGATGGCTGGTAGCTGTAGAAGTATTGTTTTCTACCATGACTATCTGGGGGCCACAAGGAGCAAGCCTGTGACCATGCACTTATTAGCCCATCACTGGACTGTTGTGTGTCTTGGAACAAATCATTTACTTCTCTGAGCTTCAGTTTGCTAGAACTTTTTCTCCCATTTTATGCTTCTTGGCCCATTAAGAAATGTCATCAGGAAGGTTTAGTTCGTCTCATTACCTGTTTTGATGCAAACTAATGCAACAGCAGAAAGCAGTCTTGAAAGAACTATTTTTTACTTCTCAGTGAGCCAGGCCATGTTGATTGGACAGACTTCTGCCATTCTTGGGTCTCCTCAGAACATAATAGTCACACAAGGCATTTTCCTGCCAGCTCATTCACTCTGATGCCCATAGAGTCAGGCAGAGTTTGTTATCTGGAGTGACTCCAGGGACTTGTGAACTGTGCAACCATACAAAGTTCTTAGAAGGCCGTACAGCTGATGTAATGCTTTGGTGACGCCGTCTTGAAATTCATAATAATTTCTAAATACTGGAATTTATTTGGCACTGTGGCCTCTACATTGTAGACTGCATCCTGCCTGGAGAACCCTTTGTAGAAAACACCGGTTCCCTATTTGTTTTTTTTTTTTATAAAAATTTATTTTATTTTTATTACAAAGTCAGATATACAAAGAGAGGAGGAGAGACAGAGGAAGATCTTCCGTCCGATGATTCACTCCCCAAGTGAGTGCAATGGTCAATGCTATGCCAATCCGAAGCCAGGAACCAGGTCTCCCAGGTCTCCCACATGGGTGCAGGGTCCCAAGGCTTTAGGCTGTCCTCGACTGCTCTCCCAGGCCACAAGCAGGGAGCTGGATGGGAAGCAGGGCCGCCGGGATTAGAACCGGCACCCGTATGGGATCCCAGTGCATTCAACGCGAGGACTTTAGCTGCTAGGCCAAGCTGCTGGGCCCGCTGGTTCCCTATTTGTATTTGCATTACTGCAGAAACCATTAAGTATTCTGTGTCTCTGTGTGTGTGTGTGTATTGAGAATACTATTGTGCTCAAGAATAAAGTCTGATGACCTGTGTAGTTTCTCCACTTTCTCAAGGATAAGTGACCCTGTTGTTGTTTTTGACACAGATCTTCTGAAGGCCAGGACCGAGGACCTGAAGCCTGACCCTTACCTCCGAAAGAGTCCCTCGCTGGAGTCACTGAGCAGACCCCCGTCGCTGGGCTTCGGGGCCACCAGACTGCTGAGCGCTTCCACTGGGGGGCTGAAACCACAGAGCAAACTCAGGTATGGTGATTTGATTTGAGGAATCAGACAGACAGTGGGCTGGTTACCCCTTATTCTTTCTCCCTGTTTTATCCCTGTGGTCTGTTTATTTTCCTGAAACAAAATGATTAAAATATAATACCTGCTTCCAACTGCTCTAAGAGGAAGACACTACGTAAGAGTTTGTGCGTGTGGCCAGCCTTGCAGCAAAGCAAGTAAAGCTACTGCCTGTGATGCGGGCATCTCTTACAGGCACTGGGTCATGTCCCATCTGCTCCATTTCCATCCCATTTTTCTGCTAATGGCTTGGGAAAAGCAATGAAAGAGGATGCAAGGGCTTTGGCCACTGCTCCTACGTGGGGGACCCTGGTAAAGCTCCTGTCTCCTGGCTTTGACCTGGCTCAGCCCTGGCTGTTGCAACCATTTGGAGAGTGAGCCAGTGGATGGCAGACCTTTCTTTGTAGTTCCAGTTTTTAGGTAAATAAATAATTAAATCTTAAGAATAAAAAGAGTATTATACAGCATGAAATACAAAGCTACTTAGGAAGGAATAAGTCAGGTACTCAGTGGAATTGCTGATTGGGTCAGAAACTTGAGCACCATTGAGAATGAGCCACGGAGCACTGCTGAGGGAGTCACTGGGGTTCCAGAGGGCAGTTTGCATCTGTTTTGTGGGTGGGTGGGTGACAGATATCTGGCTGGAAAGGCAGGTTGGAGCTATACTGCACTTGGTCTTCAGTGCTGACAGAAGGGGTTGTATGGTTTGGTAAGATGGTAGAGCAACATTAGGCCAGCGGGATTAAGTCCCATTTTTGAGCAGTAGTCCCAGAAAGTGGAACCTGTGCTATTAAGGGTGGTTCATTGATGTGTTGGTGGCAAATCAGAAGCAGTAGAGAAGCATTTTGAAATCAGTATTTAAAGAGGACTTGAGCACGAACATGAGGGGTGTGAGAGAAGGCAGAGCCTGTCAATGTTCCCAAACCTCTGTACTCCCTCTGTTTCAGAGCTCCCTGTTATCCATGCCACCAGCAACTCCCTGACAGCTACGTCCTTGCTTCCCTGTCTCTCTGGGTTGGTTAGTCATCTTCTGAAACGCCAGGTGCAGGCAGCTCTGTCACCAACACTCAACCCTGCTGCTCATCTCTTCCCGCCCATCAGAATGGCCCAGGTCTTCACTCACCTCCACCTGTTGTACTCTCACCCCTGCAGCACAGCTGGCTCTGCATGCCCACAGGCGCTGCATCTACAGATTGAACAAACATCGCATCAGAAATATTCAGGGGAAAAAATTCTGTGTGCGCTGAACATGCACACATGTTTTGCCTTGTCTAATTATGCCCTAAGTGATACAATAACAATTATGTGGCATTTGCATTGTGTTAGGTGTTATAAGTCATTTTGAGATATTGAAACTATATAGGGGGTGTGCACAGGTGCTATGAAAATGCTGTGCCATTTTAGGAACTTAGCTGACTTCAAATTTTTATACTGGTAGAGAGGTAGAATGTATGCTCACATGAGCACCTGTGCTTGCAGAATTTTATATGATTCTGAATGAAATTGCATTTTTTTTTGTCCTTTCACATTACCAAAATACATCGTCTCTTTCAGGATCAAGCCTTCCACAAAGTTATAGCTAACTACCCCGGTATCTTACACTCATTTGGGCGTTTAATTCCTGTACCACCGTGTGCTGTGTACAATTGCATAATGCATGCCTGCGTCCCCTGTCCATCTGTTACTTACTGAGCAGACGAATGAGTAGATGACTATTCTACCCTAGGAATAATAGGTCCTTCATAAGTATTCTTAGTAACATGGGTGTTTTTTAAAAAGGATTTATGAAGAGTTGAATAAGTTCAGATCTTGTCATATCTTGGAGTGTTACTTATATTTGGGCCCAAAGATACAGAGTCATTTGGCCCAGCATTTGAAGTTCCAGATATCACATATTGTCCCATCTACATGAAAAGATTTAAATAACCAAAAAAAAAAAAAAAAACCTCTAAGGGTCAGAATCAAATGCTATTCTCACACTTCCCTTTTCTTTATGCCAGAAATGAATACAAAAAGGCTATGCATATGTAAATATGCCATTTATATTATACCTTCTGTTGTTTTTTAAAGATCTATTTTTTTTTTTTAATCAAGAAAGCAGATTTACAGAGAGAAGCAAAGACAGAGAAAGATTTTACATCCACTGATTCACTCCCAAATGTCCTCAACAGCCAGAGCTGAGCTGAACTAAAGCATGGAGCCAGGAGCCTCTTCTGGGTCTCCCACATGAGCGCATGATCTCAAAGGTTTAGGCTGTCCTCCACTGCTTTTTCAGGCCACAAGCAGAGAACTGGATGGGGAATGCAGCAGCTGGGACATACAGCAATAGCCATATGGGATTCTGGCACTTGCATGTGGAGGATTAGCCAGTTGAGCCATTGTGCTGGGCCCTATACTTTATATTGCAGAAGGTTAAATTATTGAAGTTAATTTCTCATTTCAGTTTTTATATCCACATCATTGGTGTAAACCAGTGGCAAGATAGGGATTACTTATTTTGGATATTCTCATCCTGCTACTATTACTTTTGGTGATGTGGAAATTATATTTAGTTAATTTAAAAAAAAATTTTAAATAGAATATCTGGTGAAAGACAGGGATTTGGGCTAGTGGTTAAGATGCTTGTTAAAATGCTGCCCCTGTCCTGGGTTTGATACCTGGCTCCAGCTTCCTGCTCATGCAGATCATGGCTGGGAGCAGTAATGGTGGGTCCCTACCAGCCACATGGGAGATCCAGGTTGAATTCCCAACTCCTTCCCAGCTTTGGGCCATTCCCGACACATATATATATGTGTGTGTGTGTGTATATATATATATATATCTGCTGAATGTTTCAGTCATCAATTTACACCATAACTTTCCTGAACTTTCATTTTGCTCTCAAATTTGACTCTTACTTTGTCAGAAACTTAGTTTCAAGGGATGACATTATGATGAGACATGGTAAACACAGGCAGAGCCACCATGCCTGTGTGGTTAAAGCAACTCTTTCCAGAAAATTCCTCATCTTGCCTCCGTAAATCCGCCATGTGCATGGAAAATCCCCTCCTGGGATTCACATTAGCAGGAATCAACCCAGTGTTCAACCCAGACACCTTGACATAGATGCCTGACTCCCTCAGACTTCCTGCCATACCCAGGAGAGGTTTTCAAAACATTTGTGGAAAGGAATGAAACGATGCCATTTTTCATGACCTTTTTGTGGTGAATTTGGATATCCTGTGAGTAAACCCAGTTACTACTGTTGTGGATGCCCAGAGATGGACCTGTGTAACCGCTCCGTTTCTTTTCCTGCAGTGTTACACTTGGTGTTAGGGAAACAGAAGTACTCAAAATACAACACGTGTATGGTTCTGATTTCATGATATTTATGGTGGGAAAACTGTGATCTTAGTGTTTTAATAATTTTGGCCAACGTAGTAATTGTATAATGCATATGCTGATAAATCAATTGAAGATTGGGTACCTAAACGTTTGCTCTTAGAATGTTAAGGGATAGGGTCAGCGCCATGGCACAGTAGCTTAAGCTGCCATCTGTGACACCTGGATCTCATGTATGGAGCACTCGTTCAAGTTCCAGCTGTTCCACTTCTCATCTGGTTTTCTGCAAATTGCACCTGGGAAAGGCAGCAGACGATTACCCAACTGCCTGATCCCTTAGAGCTCTTGTGTTCAGCCTAGCCCAATCTCCATCATTGTAGGCATTTGGAGAGTGATTGAGTAGATGAAAGATCTTTCTCTCTGTCTGGCTTTCTCTCTCTCTCTCTCAAATAAATAAATCTTTAGAAAATTGTTTTAAAGAGTGCTAGGATATGCTATGATCACCTTAACTTTGGCTGGATCAGGTACTCAGAAGTAAAATACCACAAACTGAGAAATATGAGTAGTCCTTTAATGGATGTAAAATCCTCTTTGAATAATTTCCTTTTAGATTTTCCTCTTGGTCCCGACTCCCTTTACCTCCTTGTAAGCGGTTGTCTTTAATCTGCCTTTGCAATATACCTTTTACGTCACTCAAATACAGGTGGGGCCTTGCCACAGGTAGTGCTTTTTGTACAGTGGTTTTTAATTCAAATCATATTACACGAAAGTAAACATGTAAAAAGGCAGATGATCAACAGAGGAGTTTTAAAATAGAACAAAACTCTCCATAGAGTTAGGATACTCAAGAGGCACAGTTGAGCCTTTAACATAGACAGAATACAATGTGCTGCTAAAGTAACTAATTTGATTATTTGTTTACTTCTTGCTGGATACCCCTAAACTGTTACTTTTTACCTGTTTACTTCTTGCCTACTTGAAGGTTCTGTTTTTTGGAGGCTTCTCCTCACTGTGCTCTTCTTTCTAACCAGTGTGGAAAGAAGAGACCCTCTGGCAGCCTTGGCTCGGGAATATGGTGGCTCCAAGCGCAACGCACTGCTGAAGTGGTGCCAGAAGAAGACGGAAGGTTATGCGGTAAGAGACGGAGGGCAACCAGATTTCAGCCAGCCTTGGGTGGTCGTTGTCCTGTGACAGAACTTGCTCCATGTGTACACCTGCTTGCTGGGCCAGCACGCATTTCATTGTCATCCTTCTGTTCTCCTAAGCAGAATGTCCCCAGAGGGTTTCACACCTGTGCACTCTGCTAGTGCCCCAAGGTGGATGTCTGCAATGCATCCCACAAACCATGTCCTTAAATACAGGAAAGGAACTTCTTGACCCAGAGGAGACATAATCTCTCCCACTACCCCTAGCAGACTACGTCCAAAAGAGACAGCCTCTGCTGTGCCATCCTCCCACAGTTCATGTGAGCATCTCCCATAAATGAACCTCCAGAACCGTTCTTTCTATTTCTTGGGGAGCTGTTTGCATTTGGTTTCGTAAGACTTGGTTTACTAGGACAGTATTTATCTTCTGTGAGGTCGGGTGAGGAAGTGTAATATCTAGTACAAGTTTGAGCTTTTGTATTATGAAGTACCATATACAAAGGCAAAAGCACGTGTAGTATAAATTAGAGAGTTTCCTAAATAATTATGACATGAAAACCCATACAGTCTACCAGAAATAGAGCACAGCTGGCTCCCACAAACCTTTCATAAGACTGTGCAATCCTGTCCCCTCAGTCCTCCCTGAGACAATTATTGGCCTTCATTTTTATCATTGCTGTAAAATTGTGCACCCAGTCATGCTATTAGTTTTGACTGCTTTTGAGTTTTATATGAATAGAATAGAACATTTTGTAATATTTGTGTCTGATATTTTTCCATACAATATTTAGATTTATCTGTTTTATTGCATTTAACTATAATGTGTTCATTTTATTCAACGTTTAATGACCCTAACCACTAAAATGTGTAATTAATAGAATTATTTATTGATTGACACTGTTGTTGATGAACAGTGAGTTATTTCTAACTTGGAAGAACTGTAACTAGGGTTGGCATGCTCTTGTACTTGTCTGTTGTCGGCCCTGCTAGATGTGTACCTAGGAGTGGAGCAATTTGAGTTGTGGTAAGCATATGCTCAAGTATGGTGAATGACGCTATGCAAATTTCTGAAGTTAGTTGAGTAGTTAATACCATTCATGAGAGTTCTGTTTCTCTCCATTCTGGTCGACGCTGTGTATGGTCAGTGTTTACTCATGGACACTCTGGTAGTTGAGTGATGGTATCTCCTTATGATTTTAATTTGCATCTTCCTGTTGGCTGATGAATTGAACACCGTTTCATATGATCGTTAGCTATCTGGATGGTCTCTTTTGGTGTGCTCTGCTCAGGTCTTTTACCTATTCTGAAAATCTGCTGGTGTTTCTCTTATTGTTTTTAGGAGTTTTTTCTTTATTTCTGTATGCAAATCCTTTGTGAAATAGGTGTGTGCCAAGTCTTCTTCTGTCTGTATGGTTTGAATTTTCACTTTTTAATGAGCAAAGTTCTTCATTGTCATTAAGCCTATCTTTAGTGGACAGTGGGCTTGTTTATCCTATTTAAGCAATCATTGTTTATTCTTAGGTTATGAAGCTATGCACCTAAGTGTTCTTTATTTTACCTGTTATATTAAATATTGTGAAATTACCAACTCCGGCATTCCGAGAGAGAGAGAGAGAGAGAGAGAGAGAGAGAGAGAGAGAAAGAAGGAAAGAAAGGAAGAAAGAAAAAAAAGAAAGGAAGAACGAACTAATAAGATGATATCGTAAGATCCAATATAAGATATTGTGAGATTTAATGTAAAAGATCAGGGCTTGGCTTCCCCTTGTAATGTAAGCAGTGAGATGGCCTAGAAACAAATCTACCCAACAGTGTAAGTACCTTGTGTCATTTTATGCTGGGAGAGAGAGGAGAAAGCTAGGAACTAAATGGCCGATGACCCATTGTTTATTCTTTTTTCTTTTTTAAATATTGATTTTTAAACTTGAAAGTCAAAGTTTTTAGAGAAAGAGCGAGCGAGATCTCCCATCCACTGGGTTCACTTCCCAGATGGCCACAACAGCCAGAGCTGAACTGATCCTAAGCCAGAAGCCAGGAGCTTCTTCCGGGTCTCCCATGCAGGTGCAGGGTCCCAAGGAGTTGCTACCTTCCCAGGTCATAAGCAGGGAGCTGGGTTGCAAGTGGAGCATCCGGTACCTGAAACAGTGCCCATATGGGATTCTGGCAGTGCAGGTAGAGGATTAGCTTGCTGTGACACTGTGCTTGTCCCCATTGTTTATTTTAGCTGCTGTGTCTGCTGTGCCCCAGCCCGTTGTAAAGCCACAGATGAAGTCCCCTCAGCAGCAGCATCCAGTATCACCAACCATGCTGAGGAAATAGAAAAGAAAAAGAAGCCAGAGAGGCAGCATGTACTAAAGAGAGCCAGTGTGAACACATGATGATTACAGAAGCTTTTAGCACAAAGGAAATAATAATGGTAATGGAAAATTGAAGAGTTACCAGGCTTCGTCAGTCGGGAATGACTGGCCCAGCCGCGCTGCGGCTGACAGGCGTTGCTGCTTCCCCCACCTCACAAAGATGGATGCAGGAACTGCCAGCGTGGATATAAAAAGCCAATTAAAATTTGTGGAAGGAATGTACCCTTTGTGATGTAACACTGTTATAATTAGATTGCAGGGAGGAGATAAACTAAGATATTTCCAATCATAACCAGGAACATGGTTTGTCCTACTGTAGTGAATCTGTGGTTCTTTTCTGAACATCTTCAATGAGTTTTCACCAAAAAAAAAAAAAAATGCTTAAGGAGTGTTTTTCAGTCACTGTTAAATCTGAAAAAAAATTCAAGGATAAATATAAGTCTGGCTGCTTTGTTTACACAGGATATTCTTTGTCTAGCTCTATTTGTCTAAGATACCTTGTAAGCTTGTTCTCTCAGAGTTACAAAGCCAAAGATGAACTTTTGGAGGCTCAGCAAAGCTGTAGTCTTGAAAACCAGTAGCTATACCTACTTTGACTTAAAGTAGCTTTCTTTTTACCTCACCAAAGTATAACACGATGTGTTGGGCCTCATAGATTAACTCAGTAATACTTTTGTTGAATGGTCTATTTAAGTGCCAGAAATGCTTTAAGTTCTAGGATTTCATTTGTAAGGGAAGCAGGGAAACATCCATTTCTACGGAGTTTTACATTCTTGTGGGAACTGACAAAATGAAAAAATGACGTGTGTGTGCCCTTTAAACGTGAGTTAAGTTGGGCACTTGAGTATGGAGCACGGAAAGTTAGAGTAGTAGTCATATCCACGTGCGAGCCCCTGGTTCAGCTTCCTGATCTGTGGACGTAAGCCCAGGACTGAGATCTAGCAAAGAACATGAGCAAGCCCCCCCCCCCCGCCCCCGACTTTGAAGTGGCTCACCCAGAGCAAGACACTCTTCCAGACATCCTTGGATATTTCAGATTCCCAGAAAGGCCTTGAAAAGTTCTTTTGTATTCCCAAACTTGGAGTTCTTATACCTGCTAACCACATTCCAAGCCAAAGAGAACACTGACCCTGGGGCCACTACATCTCCCTTTCTCGTCCACTCTGTTTTTGTTTTTCTCTTTCTTTCTTTTTTTTTTTTTATTCTTGTCTACTTTTAGCTCCTAGTTTTGTGTAATGATAGAGAAATTTCAATCTCTAATAAAATTAGCAATAAGAATTAAAAAAAATATATATGTATATATATATGATTTGAAAGGTAGAGTTAGAGAAAGAGAAGAGAGAGATTTTCCATCTGCTGGTTTATTTCCCAAAAGGTCTCAATGGCCAGAGCTGGATGTGTCCTAAGCTGGGAGCCAGGAGCTTCTTCTGGGTCTCTCAGATGGGTTCAGGACCCAAGCACTCGGGTCATCTTCTGCTTCCTTCTCAAACACATTGGCTCGGAGCTGGATCGGAAATGGAACAGCCGAGACTTGAACCATTTGGGCTCTGACTCTGCAATTGAAGGATTATCCGGCTCTGCTGCAACACCAGCCCCTAATAGGAAAAATTCTCCAGGGGCAAAAGCTCAGATAGTAAATAAGACAGGCAGGACCCCCTTGACCCTCAGCCTTGCCTTTTGTATGCCAGAGGGGAGATTATCCAAGTATACCTCAGCTAATCACAAGAGCCCTTTTAAGACTGAGTTTGCTCTGGCTTGAGAGAACAGCTAGATTCCAAGCATAGGGAGAATCGGATGCATTACTGGGGGATTTGGAGGTGTAGGGGGCACACGAGATGGAGCTGCAAGTGCCTGTGACGGACAGGTAGACCTTCGAGCAATAAAGCTTTGGTTGCCAGTCCTACTGGCACCCTAGAAAATGCCAATGCTGTGCCCTGAGGTTTGGAGTTGACAGCTGCAAGTGCTGCAGGGTCCTTTGTCCCCTTCCTCAGTCCTGAAGAAAGTGTGTGAGAATGCACTTCTAAATCCAAATCCTGTCACGTCAGGAGAAGCATGATAAAGCATAACCTCCCACAACTCCAGGGCTTCACCTTGCCAGCCCTGCCATACACAGTGGGCTCTGCGACCAACACTGGTCAAGGGTCCCGAGGTGGGGATGGGGGAAGTCCTCTATATCTCAGAAGCTGGAGCAGTAACTTCTACCAGCTGTTAACAAGCTGAGTTTAAGCGTGTTAAAGGCCAGCAGTATTGCACTAGAGAGATGTAAAGTGTTATCACTTGCAATTATGAGAAAGTCTTTTTTTTTAATTTTTAAAATTTTTATTGACAATCTTTACATAGTTAATCAGGGTAAAAAGGTTCAAGGGCTACAGGAAAGTAGGTAAGACTTATTTTTCTCATATAGTTTTTTTCACGTTTAAAGAGGGTATTAAGGGAGAAGGCCCACCCAATTTCCCACACTCCCCAGGTCCCGGATGTAGGGTATGCTCTGAGGTTCTTGCTCAGGTGTTTTTGATATTTCAACAGTTATGACTCGCTGCCAATCTTGACACTGCAAGCACTGTGAGGTCTTTGAAGAATCCACTGGTAGTCCATCATAGAGTCTCTGTTTAACCCGTATTTCGCTGCCAAGATA